TTGTTTTTGGATTTATTTTAATTTATTGTAATTTGTTTTAATTCATTTTAATTCATTTCAATTATTTAAAATTAATTTCTCATTTTGTTTTCAGGCCGGAAGTGCCGGACACATATTTGGACACTCCGCCTGAGCCGGCGCCCTTCAAGCCTTTTGTCTGGGAGGACTAAATAGATAAATAAATAAATAAAATAAATAAATAAAATAAATAAATAAAATAAAATAATAAATAAATAAAATAAATAAATAAATAAATGGAATGTTTGTTTGCGGTTCGTCCGGTGTAACTGGAGCTGGTTGGAAAGTTGAATTGATTTGAGAAGTGCGGGTGGCGGAAATGAGATTTGTTTCTTCATTTATTGTTCTTATTTATTTATTTATTATTTATTTATTTATTTGGTTGTTTATTTATTTGTTTATTTGTTTATTTATTTATTTATAATTCATTTGTAGCTGCGGGAAGCAAAGACTGGAAGCTGAAGCGCGTGTTGCGAGCTGTCTGTACACCCGAACTCGCCCGCAGCGGGTCTGAAGGGAATGGCGTCCATTTGAAACAATAAATGAATAAATAAATAAAAAAGAATAAATAATTCACATTTAATTGTTCAGAATTGAAGAGAGAAACAGAATTAATTCCAATTTGATTCAGACTTCGTTCTGCGGGAACTTTCCCTCCATTTCCAATTCACAAATTCCACTTTTATTTTTATTCCTTTTCCTCCTTTTCGTTTGCTCAGTTTATTATGTTTAATTCCATTTTATTTAATTATTCATTTATTTATTTATTTATATTTATATTTGTGTTTATTTGCTTTGTTGCTCCAGTGGGCTCTGCAAAGCGCCGGCCGGAGCTGAAAATAAATGCGAAGAATAAAATGCAAATAAATAAAATAAATTAATTAATTAAATCAGATAAATAGAATAATAAAACAAATAAAATAAATAAATAAATTAATTTAATCAACTGCAATTATAAACACAAATCTATTAATGCAAACGTCGCTCCACTCCCAACCCCAAACCCTAAACCCTAAACCCTCAAATGCCTCCTTTCACTTCCAAACTCAGAAAACCCTCAAAGGGTTCTTGGGGGCCCCCAGGGGGGCCCCCAAGTACTGGGGGGCCCCTGGGGGCCCCCCAGTACCCTATTGTGGGTACTACGGGGGCCCCAAGGGGGCCCCAGGAGGGGCCCCCATAGGGGCCCCTAAAAGGGTACTGTCGAAGTCTTATATTTATATTTAGGGTTTAGAGGCGGTTTGCCACGGACCTAGGGTTTAGGGTTTAGGGTTTTAGAAGGAAATGTAGTTCGAAACAAACCAAACAATGTGGGGAGTCAGGCCACTCTAGGGTTTAGGGTTTAGGGTTTGGAGTTGAAAGATAAAACGAGACACTTTGTTGGAAATAAAACGAAAGAGTCTGCTGCTGCAGCAGCAGCACCACCAACAGCTGCTGCTGCAGCTAGCTTCTCCACCTGCAGCAGCTGCTGCTGCTGCTGCCTTCCCCAGCAGGAAGAGCTGCTGTTGCTGCTGCTAGGCCGGTTCCTCAGCAGGAACAGCAGCAGCAGCGGCAGCTGCTGCTGCTACTGCTAGGCAGGCTTCCCAGCAGCAGCAGCAGCAGCTGCTGCTAATGGGCAGTTGTCCCAGCGGCAAGAACTGCCGCTGCTGCTGCTGCTAGGCAAGTTCTTGAGCAGCAGCTGCAGCAGCTGCTGCTGCTTCTAGACAAGTTCTTGAGCAGCAAGAGCTGCTGCTGCTGCTGCTGCTGCTGCTGCTGCTAGGCAAGCTCTCGCGCCGCAGCTGCTGCTGCTGCTGCTGCTAGTCAGAATCGTCAGCAGCAAGAGCTGCTGCTGCTGCAGTAACTGCATCAAATGCTGCTCTTCCAGCCAGCAGCAGCAAAAAGGAAGATTTTAATTTTATTCTTTTCTTCCAAGGGGGGCCCCCGGGGGGCCCCCCTGGGGGCCCCCCAAAAGCAAAAATGGACTTTTGGTTTAGGAAGGCCCGGTGTCTGTACACACAAAAAAACAAACTATTTATTTATTTATTTATTTATTTATTTATTTACATATTTATTTTGATTTAAATAATTAATTATTTATTTTGACTTAAATGATTAATTTATTGCTTATATTTATTTATTTGTTGATTTATTCAATTTGAGTTAGTTTAATTAATTAATTATTTGTTTTATTCAATTAATTAATTATTTACTTTTATTTATTTATTTGTTTATTTTTTATTATTTGTTTATGCGAAAGTGTGAATAAAGAAGAAAGGAAGACAGGCCAAAATTAACCAAATAGGGAATAAATAAATAAATTGATAAATCAATAAATAAATCAATTAATAAACTAATAAATAAATGAATAGGTAAATAAATAAACAAATAAGCAATAAAATTAAATACACAAATAATAAAAGGAAGCAAATGAATTAAATAGATAAAAAAGCTGCTCACGCAGCAGCTGCTGCAGCAGCAGCTCTGTTTGGCAGTAGCAGCAACGACAGCAACAGCAGCAGCAGCAGCAACAGCAGCGGCAGCAGCAGCAGCAGCAGCAGCAGCAAAATGTCTAAACAAACGAAGCAAAGCGAATATAAAAGATCTTTGCCTCAAACTTGGACAGAATTGGAAGCAAAGAAAGCACTAATTAGAATTAATTGAATAAATTAAAATAATTAATTTAATTAAATTAAAATAAGTAAATTAATTAAATCAATTTAATTAAATTAATTAATTTAACTCACAAATAAACTGCTGACAAACACCAACTCAGCGGCCGTGACAGCAGCAGCGGCATTCCGCTGCTGCGCTCCAAAGTGCAATTTAAAGAAGACTCAAAAACTGAATAAATAAATAAATAAATAAATAAATAAATAAATAAATAAATAAATGATAATTCAGTCATTAGTTGCGCGGCTGCAGAGAAGAAACTCCTCTTTTGCTGCAGCTGCGGCGCGCAGCAGCAGCAGCAGCAGCAGCAGCGGCAAGCGAACGGCGACACGAAGAGCAGCAGCAGCAACAACAGCAACAGCAGCAACGTGAGCAGCAGCGAAGATATCAGTAGCAATAGCAGCAGCAGCAACAGCGGCAACAGCGGCAGCACTTGCAGCAGCAGCAAACGCAGCAGCAGCAGCAGCAGCAAATGCAGCAGCAGCAGCAGCAGCAGCATCAGCAGCAGCAGCAACGGCAGCAGCAGCAGCAGCAACTGACGGAAAAGCGCTCCTATTCTTTTGCTGCTCCATTTCCCGAACTGCAGCGCAGCAAAAGGTCTGCTCCGGAACAGCAGCCGCTGCTGCCGCAGCGCCTCGCCTAGAAACGTAGGTCTCCTGCTGCTGCTGCTGCTGCTGCTACTACTACTGCTGCTGCTGCTGCTGCTGCTACGGGAAAGGACGGAGATAATTCGGCGGAACCAAGACGAGCGAAGAGCCGCTTGCTGCTGCTTTAGCTGCAGCTGCTGCTGCAGCAGCTGCTGCTCTCGCTGCAGCAGCTGCTGCTCCTGCAGCTGCAGCTGCTGCAGCTGCTGCAGCACCCGAGAAGGGGCAGCAGCAGCAGCA